GCTCTTTACACAAGGCCTTTTGTTGGCCGGTCGGCTCTGAAAACATTTAATTTCTCCCCCAAGTGACAGCGCTGCCATGAAAAACAGGAAGAGATTGAATACAGTAATTTAAACAGTCAAACTCCATTTCCTGCCAAAAGGAAAAGAAAATACCGGCAAGAAGGCAGGAGATAGTTGGGGACAGACATTTCGATTATCAAGCAGATATTTGTGCTGCGTATCCGGTGAAAGCTGCAGCGATGGAGGTGACACCTTTTCATCTCGGGGACTGGAGTCTGTTAGGCTGCAGAGCAGCAGGTGATGCTGCAAGACACATCAGGCTGATGAGGAGACCAGGATCTCCCAGGAGAGCAGCCCTGGGATGCAACCAGCTCCCGAGCTGACAGCCAGGAGCACGTGCCAACAGCACATTGTGTTTGGGGCTTCACTGAGAGACAAAGGTCCAGCAAGGATTCCCTCTCCTCTCCATCTCCCTTGACACTTTTTTGCTGCTTTGGGTTCAGTATCCAATACCCTCCTCTTCTCCATCCGTGTTTGTATGTCCCACACAGCCATTCACCTGATTGCTCCCCAAGGTAGAGAGGAAGCCTTCCCTGCCTCCACTGCTGAGCATCCCAGTAATGGAATTCTCACTGGGCTTCAAAATGCACCTGTTAGTCCTATTTCATAGTAATGATAATCAACAAATCCCCCAGTGATCAATTTCTATACAAAAAGGACACATTTGTACCTCCATCCTCCTCTGATATTGTGGTTTTTTATTATTTATTTTTAAGAAATCCAGTACATTCCAACTGTATCATGGAACCATGAAATCATAGAATCACAGAATGGTTTAGGTTGGAAGGGACCTTAAAGACCATCTCATTCCAACCCCCCCACCATGGGCAGGGGCACCTTCCACCAGAGCAGGTTGCTCAATTACAAAGTCCATGAAGCCTATTTAAACCACAGCCTTCTCAAGCCAACGTGAAGTTTGTTTCCTGCTTTGAGAAGCCCATTTTTTCCCCTTGAGAACAGCCCTTCCTTCTTCCAACACCCTGCATGTCCCCACTGCTCCACACATTTTCGTGCACCAACCACACTGCAGTGGTTACTTTTCCATGACTGCATAACAAGAGCCTCATGTGTCAAAGGCTTTGAAGGTGCCCTCTGACTGTATAAGCAGGAATGGCTTCAGTATCCAGAGAGGAGATTTGGATTTGACATGAGGGAAAGCTTCCTCACAGCACAGGGAGAGAGAGAGGAACCTCCGTTGCCGGAGGTTAAGAACAGGTGAGACAAACATCTGTCAGGAATGTTTTAAGTAGGGCAGAAGGGCAAATCAGATGACCTCATAAGAATCCTTTTTTTCCCAGCCTCATTTTTCTCTGATTATATGAATTTTTAAGCGTTTGGGGTCAAGTGTACTCTTTAAATATTAGCTATTATCCTGCATTTGCAGAGAGATATTACCTGAAACCATTTATCACCTGAGTGAACATCACCAATTTGCAAATCAACTGCCCAGACATAAAAATCTATCATTTTTTCCCCGATCTGTGCTGAAGATTACAGGGAGGACAGCTGTAACACAGGGATGGGAGAGGAATGAACACTGAGGATTCTCCATTCATCTCTGGATATTTACTTTTCCCATTCTGCAAATGCTTCTATCACACTACCAACATCTGCAACACGCACAGGAACTTGGCACAGGGGAATCACAGGCTCATTACACAGTTGTGCCTCCGTCTTTGCCCTCATATTGTGTTTGCAAACCAGGCCAGGGCAAGTTTCCAGGACATCCAGCCTTGCAGGGCATCTGGGGACCCAAAGCCTCCCACTGCATGTTGACCATGAGATACAGTTTGTCCAGCTCAGCTTACCAAGGTCCTGCCCAACTTCAAATCTCCCAGATCAGCTGCAACCAAACTGCCTGACCAGAGAAGCTACAGACTCTACTACCAGCAGGGCCAAGAGCACTGTTCTCCCACATCCCTGTAATTATCTGTGTGCGTATTGCAGGTTAGGAGAGCTGTGCTGGGAATGGTCTCCAAGAGATTTCTCTTGCTCTGAAGTGGCCCTGAGAAGCATTACATCAAGGTAGGAGCAGAAGAATCATAAAATGTGGATCCCCTTTGAGTCAGTTATTGCTCTATCAGAAATATTAGAAAAATTGGAAGAAGGTTTGTTACTAAAAACCAGACCTGACCAGGCACCAAGAGGTGAAGATAATGCAGTGAATCCAGCTCCATAACTCTGCAGTTAATACCACAAAGAATCATGAAATAATAGAATGGTTTGAGTTGGAAGGGACCTTAAAGCTCATCTCATACCACGCCTTGCCATGGGCAGGGACACTTTCCCCTATCCCAAGTTGCTCCAAGCCCTGTCCAACCTTGAATTTCCAGGGATGGAGCAGCCATTGCCTCTCTGGGCAACCTGTGCCAGGGCCTCACTAGCCTCTGTGTAAAGAATTTCTGCCTAAAATCTAATCCAAATCTCTCCTCTCTTAATTTAAAATGCTCAGTGGCCGGCACATCAGCTGTACCCGTTCACATGCAGGATTTCAGCTGCTGAAGGGAGGGCAGCAAAGCTGAAGTTCAGCTCCAGCCTGGATCTCAGGAAGGTTAAGCCTCTATTTGCACCAGCAGGAAAACATTTGACATCCACACAAAAACAGGGAAAAGTCTCACTGATGGCTTTGTAATTGGTTTTAGAGCTGCTCCAAACACGTGCTGAGAGGCAGAGCAGCAGCACTGGGGGCTGGCTGGCAAGAGGACATCAGCGAAGGAAACAGGGCCCTCACAGACACATATCCAGGCTCCAAAATACTTCACCAACTATCAAATATTTTCCAAGCTTAGCTGCTGGACTCTGCATCCCCTTGCAGCAGCCAAGTCACTAATACCTCTTCCCTCGGGCAGCACAGCTGATCTCAGGCAGGGCTTGCCAGCAGCTCTAAGTAGGCTCATTTAAGGAGAGGACAGCCTACTTAGTTACACTCTTCAGACTCCCTTCTTTTAATTCAAGGATCTCCAGGTTCTTTTCCAGCTTAGCATTAGCATCTCTGATTCACAGGGAAGAAATACTCTCCCAAATATGCTCTAACATTTTTTTTTACCCACTGTGTCACCCAGCCCTTGGCTCCTTGTCTTCTCTCCCACTTCTGCAGTCTGGTCCCTCCAAGTTCAGTCTGAGACATCAGTCTTCTTGGTTTGAGACTCACCCCAAGGGACACAAGAATGCTGTTGGCCTTTTTGCTCCTGTCTAAAGCCACAGAAAACAGGACTGAGAGGTTTCAAACCTCCTAATTTGAGAGGTCCAATACTGCAAATGTATGGAGCACAAGCAGAGCAGATATGCAAATGCATGGAGAGGCTTAGCAGCCCAGGAAAGAAACTCCAGTGGGAAGCTCCCAGCTTAAATCTAAAGGCAGCTCTTTGAATGTGCAGAGGCCTTGCAGCTAAACAAAAAAATCAAAGCCAGATTTGGGCACAGCCTTTCTCCCTGTGCAACACTCCATTGGGAGCTTTATGGGTCCAGGCAGGAGATCCCAACTAAAATGAAGGACTTGTCCCTCCACAGATTCAGTGTGGGAGAATGAAATGCAAGGTCAAGCAAGGACTCTGAGGGCACTGGTGTAAAGGGGAATTAAGGTAGAGTAAGGCAGGATCAGTCTCCCTGCAATGAAATTCCCACCTGCATTCCTCTTGGTCCGTCCTCGTCCTGCCAAGGAGCAGCATCAGGAATCCCCTGGCAAAGGAGGCTTGAGCATAAAGGAGAGCTGGAGCAACCCCACATCCTGAGCCTTGCCTGCCTTGAGATTACGGGGCAGGAAAGCGCTCTGGAATTCCTCATATTCCCTTTTCTCAGACTTGAACTTGCCTCTCACTTGAAAGAGCTAATTAAGGCCGGGAATCAAAGCCTGGAGAGGCAGCTCTTCCAGCCCGGCTCAGAGCCGGCCCTAACGCCCATGCCCGTGCCTGCTATCAAAGCCAGCCCCGGGCTGGAGGGGCTGAGGCACATTCCTGTGGAGAAGCAAGATTCAGGATGGGAACAGTTCCAGGCATGGAGAAAAGCATACAGCAATTGGCAGGACTTTCATATGGACTTTCACTGTATTCATGCTACACAGTGCACAACTGCACATGCCCAGGCTTCCTCCTCCCCCTTTTGCCTGTGCCCCGTTCTGATTTGCTCCCCCATTTGTCTGTCTGATAGCCCTCTCGATGTTCTGCCCCCTGCCCCTGGCGGGACGGTTAAGAATCGGGCGCACGCCTGAATAAACAAGTCTGCTTGCACCCTCCCTCGTGTCCTGTCCCCTCTTCCCTTCGGACCCGCGACAGATGGCGCCCAGCGTCGGGCAGAAAAGGTTTTTACCTTAAGAAAACCTCCCCCACGCCACAAAGGGCTCAGACAGCGCTGAGAGAAGCGTCTTCATCTCGCTGGTCCTTCCCGGTAGAACCCCAGATTACGGCAAGATAGCCACCGCACCGAGAAAGGTGAGCTCCGGGAAAAACCTCTAATCCCATCTCCCACCCTCACAAAATCAACTTTAAAACCAACTACAGACCAACAGAAGCCTAAGTAATTTCGCAATGGGCCTCTCGCTATCTACCCCTCAAAAGTTTGTATACCGCAAGCTTAAAGACTTTATTTTGGAAAATGGACACCCTTTAGACAAAAAATCTGCAAAATCCCTTGCTAAATGGCTTGAAAACAGAGGGGAAGCAATCTCCGACAACATGTCTCAAAAAGACTGGGAGAAAATTGGATACAATATCTGGAGAGCAAAAGAGAGGGGAGACAAAATTGCTACTGAAGCGTTAATTGCCTGGAGATTGATTCTGATGATGCTAGAGCATCAGTTGATGAGTTCCAATGAAAATCTCCAAGAATCTGAGCAAAAATTCAAGCCCCCATCCCCAAAAATGGACAAGCCCCGAGGGTCCCGGAGCTGCGGGGGGGTGGGGGAGAGCGCGGACGGCGGGAGGGAGAAACAAAGCACGGAATACCGGCATCATGGCGTCGGCCGCGCGGGCGAAACCCAGGAGAGCGGGGAGGGAGCGCGGCGTGGAGAAACGGCATGCAAAGATTTCGCGCGTCTCCCGCCGGCACCGCCCCCCAGCCCGCCCGTGGAAGCTCGGCCGGCACCACCCCCCAGCCCGCCTTCGCGTCCGCCCCCCTACGCCCCCGGCACGCCCAAGGACCCTCCCACCAGAACGCCCTCTCCCTCCAGCGCTGCCTCTACCCCCACGTCATCACCCTCCCGGGGTAGACGGAAACTAAGGAGCAGGGCCAGGGCCTCTTCCGACGATAACACCCGGAAAGATGGCCACGCCCATGAAGCCTTTGTTACCGAGGCTCCCGGCAGTTGCAGGATGGCAAATGCCTCTCTTCCATGCAACGATATTTGGAAAGCTTTCCGGACAGAAGCTGCACAGGCTAACGATGCCGAGTTTTTAAAAGCTTTTCCAATTTACCTAGAGGAAGGTCGTGCTCCTGAGTGGCGTCCGGTGTCTTATACCATGTTAAAGGACATCAAAAAAGCGATTGTAGAGTACGGTTTAGGCTCACCCTATACTGTTGGACTTTTTGAATCGTTTTTTCTCGCCTGCCGTTTAATACCTTATGATATCAAAGCGGTAATTAATGGACTGTTATCGACTGTGCAGGCATCCGTTTTTGAAGCGGAATGGAAACGTCTTATAGTTAAATATGTCAATGAAAAGATGGAGAGGCGTGGTATTCCTGTAAAAAATGCTATTGATATGCTGTATGGAGAAGGCAACTATGCGAGCCGACAAGACCAGGCTCTTGTGGATTTAAAATACCTAGATATTACAAAAGATCTGGCAATGGAAGCCTTTAAAAAGGTTGCTGATGCATATGTCCAAACACCCTCCTTCACCCTAATTCATCAGGGCTCAACAGAACCTTTTGTGGACTTTATAACCCGGCTAAAGGAAGCTATAGCACGGCAAGTCCAACAAAAGGAAAGCCAAGACATTCTGTTTAATAAACTTGTGATTGAAAAGGCTAATGAAGATTGCCAACAAGCCTTAAAAATGCTAAAAGATCCCACACTCCTGGAGATGATAGAAGCTTGTAAGAATGTGGGGTCTAATTCTCATAAAGCAAGACTAATAGCTGAAGCTTTAGCTGGACCACAAACCTGTTTTCACTGTGGAGAGACAAGACATATTAAAAAGAACTGCCCACAATTAACTACAAAGACTGAGCTTCCAAAGACGCCGTGCAAACGATGTGGGAAAGGCAGACACTGGACTAAAGATTGCCGCTCTCTTACTAACATCTATGGAGAACTGCTACCTCCTAAAAAGTCACCAGACTTGAGAAGAAAAGTGACTTTTAATTCAATGCCAGATCTTAAACAGTGCACCTGTGAGCTGTCAAGAAACAAGGCAGCACCCCCTCAACCGCGTTCCATCCTGCGTAGCCCATCCCTTCAGCAAGTGCCAGCAAACCACAACAATCCCTACAGTTCCCTTATCACATGATCCCAATCCTAAATTCTCCCTTCTAACATGTTCTGCTTACTTTCCAGGATCTCGTAGTCCACAGAAGACCACTATCACTAAGCTTTTAGACACCATGGAGCAGTGGCATCTCGGGCTGGAAACAATTTTAGGGGGGGGAGTCACTCAGCAAATGCAGCTGTCCACTTGTTTTGAAATTTTGCTTTCTCTGTTTGTTTTGTTACTAACTATTTCTTGTGTCACAGCATGCTGCAAGAAGGACTATCGCAACAAGCATCTTTCAAACTAATAAGAAAGGGTGAGATGTGGAGAAGCAAGATTCAGGATGGGAACAGTTCCAGGCATGGAGAAAAGCATACAGCAATTGGCAGGACTTTCATATGGACTTTCACTGTATTCATGCTACACAGTGCACAACTGCACATGCCCAGGCTTCCTCCTCCCCCTTTTGCCTGTGCCCTGTTCTGATTTGCTCCCCCATTTGTCTGTCTGATAGCCCACTCGATGTTCTGCCCCCTGCCCCTGGCGGGACGGTTAAGAATCGGGCACACGCCTGAATAAACAAGTCTGCTTGCACCCTTCCTCGTGTCCTGTCCCCTCTTCCCTTCGGACCCGCAACATTGAGCAGCTTGGCCTCTTGCGTGGTGAATTCACCAGAGCTATCAGGACCCAGGCTGGCACACAGAGATTTAACTTACAGCTCAAATATCTGTAAAAACTTTTGTGATGAATGTGTGCTGAACACACCAACATTGTCTTTGCTTGGGCTGTTCAAGATCAAACAAACAATTTAAAGTGGCGAGAGTAAAGGTGAAGTGACTAATACAATCATTTTCTTGGTTACAAAATTGTTAAACTAAAACCAGGATCATCCTGTCTCATCAGAAAGCAGGTTGCATTTCTAATTTGTGTTAAAAGTGACCCCAAATTGAATTCTAATTTCAGGAGAGAGGAATTTGTATTTGGGCAAATTCTGAGCCTTTAAAAGCTTATGTTTAATATGCCTAAGTATGCCCATTCCAGTTAAGCATATATGAAATATTGCAGCTTAGAGCATACTTTAGTTTAACAACTATGTTGGTGTCCCTTTATATGCTAAGCAGAGCTCCTGGGATCATGTTTCTGATATGAATATTCAGTATTATGTCTTCAGAATTGGATATCCATGAATATTTAATACTACATGTTCCCAAAGGAGTCACCTAACACTCCAGCTCAGGGACAGCTGATCAGATGAAGCCAGCAAAGTCCTTCGCATTATCTTCAAACAAAGTCCTTCACATTATCTTCTGGAGGTTTTTTTGTTGGTTTGGTTTGGTTTTTTTTATTCTGTAGTGCATAGCAGTTACGGGGAAATTTGCAGAAGCAGCAGCTGCCTCCAGTGCCAGCAGAAGTAATTGAAAAAGGTGGAGGGGGGAGGAGGGACAAACAGGGAAATTTCAGGGTTTTGATGAAAACTAAAATAAATCATTTGCTAAAGAAACATAAGTGTAGGAATCAAATGTTGAGATTAAAGACTAAAACGCTGAACAGTAAAGTTCACAGAACAACTTAACAACTTTGATGTGGAAAGAACGTTAAAAAATACTGAGGAAAGAGTTCAAATTTAGGTGGGAATCCCTATTATATGTATATACTTGGAGAAAAACTGTATTTTGAGGTTTGATGACAAAATAAGCCTGCTGTATCCTTCTGTTGATCAGCATTGATCAGTAAACATTCTTTTGCATGGGAATAAAAAGTAGTTATTAGAGCTAGAATTTGGCTCAGGTAAGTGTTGTAGCAACATAAATCTACTCTAGCAACCAACTGATGTCTCCTGAATTTGAACTGCCAGAAAGGGAAGTTAAAAAAGAAACAGACAGGGTGGGATTTGTAAGTTTGTCATGGATTTCATGTGTTTCATTTGTTTATGTAGCTTTGCAAACCCAAAGCTCCCTGAGATCTAGAAAAACAAATATTCATGTTTTCTCTGAGGTTTCTCAAATGACAGAATGCTGGCAATCTTAGTGAGAGGCTGGAATGATTTCTTGCCATGTTGTTTCAGCTCACAATAAGCTTAACGGTTATCCTGGATTTCATACGCAATACCTTCATCATTGCTGAAGGCAATCAAGTGCCTCTATTCTGTGCCATACCGAAAAAAATGTTGTAGCAGTTGTTCAACAACTTCACCGTGATTCTTTTGGCATTACTCATTCATGACTTTGGCTTTGGCCTGTCTGGTTAGGTTAATTGGCTGCTCTAAAGCTCTGTAAAGTCACTGAGAAAATGCTGGTATAATCTTGAGTTTAATGGAAGGATTGGACTGGCCTTATCCTGCAATTTAATCAGTAGAGTTGGGTAACATTTTTAGTGACTGCAAATTTATCACAAAAAGAGTTTTTATGCTAAAAGTGTTTCCACCTTTTAGTAGAAAAGCAGTATTTGTTTGAGGTGAGGAGAAAGCCTGGAGATAAAGTCTAATCATGTCATCCCTCTTTTATCCACTCACTCAGGGATTATGAAATTTGATTTTAATCTCATCATGAGAGTTGTGGAAACCACACCTCCCTCTTCAAAAGGACAGTGTCTCTGAGGAAGAAGTGATAGGAAATTTGGAGTGGGCTCTTCTTTTTCACCCTTCTCTGCAATTTGTGAGAGTAGGAAGCAATTCTTCCTCTGACCCTCTCCTCAGTAAACCACTCAGTAGCATAGTTAGGACCTCGTGCCACTCATGGCATCTCTTGGGCCCAGACAGCTAGAGGCAATGGGCTCTACCATCCCTGGGGTTTACAACCTGCTGGCATGGCTGCTTTGGCCCACAGAGTCTCTGCAGCACATGGCCTTGACACACACACTGCCGCTGAAACAGCTTTAAAAGGAGAAGCATCATTGGTCCTGTGTGCTCTCTTGCTTGGTTGTCCTAGAGCCTGGAGGTTCATTCTCTCCCAGAAAAGTGGGAACCCCAAGTCAAATTTGTACATCTCCCAGTCCAGGGCAGGGACCAAAGAAAGAGCCAGTTTTTGCTTCCAATATTTCAGTTTGGCTTCTGACCCAGAAAATGAATTACAGTCACAGCCCTATGCAGTGCAGAGTAAGGTAATATTCAGGATGACAGTGGGCATGCCTGGTCTATGTGGAGCTAAGATGCCTGCAGAGGCTGCTTTCCATGTACTGCCTTATTTAACTCTTTATAGTCCTTTATGTCCTCCAAAAGAATCCCATTTTCTGTGCAGGTTTATTTAAAATAGAGATGTAGTACGTTAAGAGAATACTGGGGGTTTTTTTGGCATAGTAGTTCTACATATTGGTCTTAGATGAAGTTCAACTAATTTATGTACTGACAATAGTGAGCTGATATTTCCTCTGATACTGAGATTTGGCAGGGAGGACCAGAAGGAAGTGTTTCGATCCAATATGTAAGACAACAGCAAAAGGGAAAAAAGATATTTCCTCTTTATTATGTGAGGAGAATAATACATTACAGATAATTTCCACCCGTTAAAATGCTCTTTTGTTCTTGCAGCCTGGTTTGGGTT